ACTTGCCTGTTATCTCGTACTAATACAATCATTATCTTTGGAGTACTTACATCCCAAGTGTGCTAGATTTCAGAAACGTCATCATCGGACATACAATTTATTTTCACGAAAAATATTTTAATTTTGTAATTTTTTTATATTTAATATATTATGATTATTATGATTTAACACAACGTACAAAAATATTGTTGAACATACAATTAATTTTAATATTCGCGTTCTGAGAGAGAAAAAAATAAGATTCTTTGTGTGATTTTTTTTAATAAATTACAAAACGAAAATTTAATTGTCAATTAATTGCGATTATTGCATGCATTAGTCCTTAAAGTCTTTATTACATTTCTTTTGCACTGCCAGATTGGTACATAATCACATTCGTTTTATTCAAAACTCTGCTATTTGTCCATACATAAAATATGAGATCTACATTAACATCCTAATAATCGTAATAAACTCAACTGTCTTATTAAATGAATGAAACTCAAAACATTCATATTTAACGCTGGATGCGCAACATAAATAGAGCGTTAAATCTTTGCTAATTTTAAGCCATCAAAGAGACGTCTCTATTCATTGTATCGCGAGTGTGACGTACTTATTGTGGTTGCAAATTTGCGGCAAATAATTGAAGATTCTTGAAATAGGCCAGGATTGGAAAAAAAAGGAGGATTTTCAGTGGGTTGGTTGAAGAGATAATCGAGAGCGTAATAAAGTAGGCTCTTGTGATGTGATAATTACGTGTGCGACTCGTACGTTTAATTGCTCGGCACGCTAAGCGATTTCGCCCAATGTAGAAATTAATTATCGGGCGCACGGCATTGTGAGCGTTTCTGAAGGAAAGAACACCTGGGTGATAATTGTCGGTATACCAATATCATCATACGAATTATAAAGATACCATAAGAAGTACGTCATGACGGTGACTCAAGGAACGCATAATAATTCCTACAATAATAAAGATATATTTTTATCGTGCACTTAATAAATATGTTAATGGTAAAACTGATATTTATATAATACTTAATCCAATAAATAGTGACTCGAGGAATGCACGATAATTCTTACAATAATAAAAATATATTTTTTATCGTGCATTTAATAAATATGTTAATGGTGAGATGACTGATGTTTTTATAATACTTAATCTAATAAAAATTTTGTGTTGAAAGTACATTGGCATATTGAAAGTAAGGTAAATAGTTATAAAAAAGATACTGACGCAATAATATAGATATGAAGATAATATAGAGTCGAACATAGTCATTAATTATTTTCTGAACAGAATAACATGTGTTTCAATGGGATATTTATCTTTACTTTGAAAGAAGACTTTGATTAGACGATAAAGATCACTGATGAGAATTTACATAACTTGCTTTGCACGATTATGCAATGTTGAAATTGAATTGAACTCATTTTAGAACTGCGATACCTTGCCATTTTCTCACATTATCTTCAGTATTAACATCATTCATTCTCACATTATCTTCATTATTAACATAACTTAACATTATTTTTTGCTTCATATTGAGGTATACATTAATTCAAAATATTCTTTTGCGGTATTGCATTTTAATATGCGCAGCACTTTCTTTAAAAGAATAACTGAATAAAGATGAGTAAAGAACAATTGAAAAAAATAAAATCTTTCTTTAAACGTTTTAAAGACGTCTTTAAAGATGTTCTAAAAATATCTTTATTTGACGTTTTTTAAGACGTCTCGTTAACAACGTAATTCAAATAGTTCCGAAGAAAATTATTTGTAATGAGTTATAGTCGGATTGTGCGCACAAACGTTAAAGCTGCAGGAAATCGGTAATGAGGAAGAATAAAAATTACATCTGACTCACCACAAAATTACAACGTTCAGAATTCTATTCTCAATCAACGTACCTTCGATCGTTCGAGGAGTCACGATTTATTTGTTATTCTTTACGTAAGCTCGATTTTTAATATTTACAAAGACATTTTGTTTTTAATTTATATAATTATTATTATAAAATGAGAGATATTATGGAAAGTTAATAATAATTACATATTTATTTTGATATTTATTATGTATAATGATCAACATTTTAATGTGTCTAACACAAAAATGAAATTAATAATGTGATATTAACAGCGTGAAAATCATGGAAAGATAGATAAGAATAAATTTTATAGAGAAAATGAATTTATTTTAATCGGGAATTGATGACTGATAGCGGAAAATAAAAAAACATTTGTCTTTCCTGCGAAATGTTACAGTTTCTTTTCTCTTGCTTTTTAAAAGCCCAATATTCTTTTTCTGAAAAAACGTTGTTTTTGTAGAAAATATTTATATTATTCTTTTTTCAAAAAAATACAGATATTTTTATCAAAAGAGATATGCTCTTGTATTTTTCCTAACTGAAGCTCTAAAAGCTTACGTAATTAAATTGTAAAACTAACATTAATCGACTTCTCGATGAGCAATTGAAAAAATTAATTATTTTTCTTTCTTTTCATCTTTCTTTCTCTATTCAGGAACGTATTTTAATAAATTCTTAGATACATAGTAAAACCAAACGTATTCCAAAGTTAAGAAGACTCGCTCTGCTCGTTGTATAGCTTCGCCTCATTGCTCTCTTCGCCCGTCAGAAAGGAGATTCGAGAAGATGCGATCCTTTCCTTGACTTTCGCCTTTGACTCACGATGCACTTTTTATGAAAACAGCTATAATATCGACATTGCCTTGATCCATCTCGCTGAATACGGTCCTTTCTTGTGAACACGTCTGATCTGCAACATTATTTAGAGAACGGGACGAATAGCGTTATCTGATATAAAAATACAGGAAGAAGCAACACATGCATACTAAAAAAACAATATTACAGAATAATTCTAATTACACAGATTATGATTGCACTTTTAACAAAGATGATCTTTTTAAAACATCATTGAAGCTTAAGACTTGAAAAAATACACACACATTAATTATAACTTGTAATTAAAAGATACACATAAAATCACTAAGAACATAAAACACGAAGTATAATTTATTTATTTTAAGATAATATAGAAACATTATATTTTAAATTGCGCTTTTGCAATGCTACATATATATATATATATATATATATATATATATATATATATATATATAAGATTACACGGGGATCAATTTGCGATGATTTACAATCGTATAAAGTAAAATTATTTTAGTGATACTTCAGCGTTATAATCGTTTGGGAGAAATCGATATGAAACTCACGAAAATGTCCGCCGGTGATATTCATAAAAATGGATACTTTATATAATTGAATATATTATTGCTCACGTGGGCGGTGGCAGAGAAAGAGGAAAGGATTGGGATAAGTGACTCCATCCGACGCGCAGACTGGATTCCACTCGTATCTCGCTTTCGCGATGTCACAAACCGCCGCACCATAAAGCTGGTGAACGAATTCCACGCGGCAACCACCGTCGTGAATAATTTGCAATTCTAGAAGAATAAAATAAATCCCGAGATTGGGTTTCAAGATTAATTAAACACATAGTAACGCAGTAGTAAATTGTGTGACATGCACACAATATTTTCTATAATTTCCGTATGCAATTTTCTCGGTATTTATATAACATTTTATTATTATATTAAAATATATTATTATATATTTTATTATTAAAAAAAACACACACATACACACACACACACACACACACATATATATATATATATATATATATATATATATATTATTA